CCACCTTTTGTGCACTTTTCCGGGTGGCCGGCGGGACGGGCCGAAGCCCCAGGGGGAGTTCGTTTGGAAAAAGAACCAAAACCCAAAGCGAAAGGATTTAGCACGCCGGGCACCCTTGTGGCAAGCCAACAGGGGGCGGCGGATCGAAGACGCCTACGGCGAATCACCGCCGCCCACTGCCTTTTTGGCAGCGCCTATGTGGCCGAACGTTGAGGCCAGACCTGCCAAGCTATCGGACCATGTGTTCCCCGGATCGGTTTGGAAAGCCTTCGGGGAACACGTGGGCATTTTGAAGGTCATCTTGACCGTCTGGAGGCCATTCTGACCCTTGTCGGGCCTTCTTGGAGGACGTCTTGGAGGGCTCTTGGGCCGTCTTGGAGGCCATCTTGAGCGTCTTGGAGACCTCTTGGGCCGTCTTTGGGGCCTCTTGGGGCCGTCCTGGGCGATCATTGGGGGCTCTTGGGCCGTCTCGGGCCGTCGGAAGGCAGAAAAAAAGCAAATGCCACACTCCTTCAAAAAACCAATTGGAAATCAATGATTTTGGCTTTTTCGGGCCTTCCTGGAGGCCCTTTTGGAGGCCTCTTGGGCCGTCTTGGGCCATCTCAGGGCCATCTTCGGCCGTCTTGGTGGGCTCCTGGTCCGTCTGACGCCGTCGGAAGCCGTTTGGGGGGCCTGTTATGGGCCGACTTGGAGCCCTCTTGGAATGCTCCAGGGCTGTCTTGGAGGCCCATCTTGGGAGTCTTAAAGGCCTCCTGTGCCGTCTTGGGGGCCTCTTGGGGCCGTCTTGGGGCCCTCTTGGGCCGTGCTGGTGCCATCTTGGAGGCCTCTTGGGCGATCTTTCGGCCATCTTTGGGGGCTCTTGGGCCGTCTCGGGCCGCCGGAAGGCCGAAACGAAGCAAATATCAACATCCGTCAAAAACCTCAGGAAAATCAATGTTTTGGGTCTTTTCTGGCCTTCCTGGAAGCCCTCTTAGGGGCCTTTTGGGCCGTCTGGGGCCAGCTTCGAGCCAACTTCGGCCATCTTGGCGGGTTCCTGGCACGTCTGACGCCGTCGGGAGCCGTCTTTGGAGCCTTTCTGGGCCGACAGGCCATCTTGGGAGTCTTCGAGGCCATCTTGGGCGTGTTGGAGGCCTCTTGGGCCGTCTTGGGGCCCTCTTGGGGCAGTCTTGGAGGCCACTTGGGCCGTCATGGGGCCCTTTTGGGGGCCTCTTGGGCGATCTTGGGGGCCTCTTGGGCTGTCTTGGGCCGTCGGAAAGCAGAAAAGGCGCAAATGCCAGAATCCTTCAAAAACCTAAGGACAATCAATGATTTTGGCACTTTCGGGCCTTCCTGGAGGACGTCTTGGAGGGCTCTTGGGCCGTCTTGGAGGCCTCTTGTGGGCCTGTTGGGCCGTCGTAGACCATCTTGAGGCCATCTTGGGCCGTCTTGGAGGCATCTTGGGGCCATCTTAGCCGTCTTGGAGGCCACCTTGGACCGTCATAGAGACGTCTTGGAGACCATCCTGGGCCATCTTGGCCGTCTTGGACGCCGTCTTGGGCCAATTGAAGGAAACAGAGGCACGGCAGACGCGTTTTGAGTTTTTTTCCCAACCATCCTGTGGTGTTGGGTCCTCGTTTTGAAGAGACGTCGCCCCGCGTTCCTCCTTCCTCCTCCTTCCTCCTCCTCCCCTTCCTCCCCCCTCCTCCCCCTCCCACACCCATTCTGGCACACCCCTCACACGTTTCGTGGCCCCATAGGGAGCTCCACCGAAGGCCCCAGTGGCTGCGCCCGCATGCGGTTCCACCCCCCATTCTGGCACACCCCTCACACGTTTCGTGGCCCCATAGGGAGCTCCACCGAAGGCCCCAGTGGCTGCGCCCGCATGCGGTTCCACCCCCCATTCTGGCACACCCCTCACACGTTTCGTGGCCCCATAGGGAGCTCCACCGAAGGCCCCAGTGGCTGCGCCCGCATGCGGTTCCACCCCCCATTCTGGCACACCCCTCACACGTTTCGTGGCCCCATAGGGAGCTCCACCGAAGGCCCCAGTGGCTGCGCCCGCATGCGGTTCCACCCCCCATTCTGGCACACCCCTCACACGTTTCGTGGCCCCATAGGGAGCTCCACCGAAGGCCCCAGTGGCTGCGCCCGCATGCGGTTCCACCCCCCATTCTGGCACACCCCTCACACGTTTCGTGGCCCCATAGGGAGCTCCACCGAAGGCCCCAGTGGCTGCGCCCGCATGCGGTTCCACCCCCCATTCTGGCACACCCCTCACACGTTTCGTGGCCCCATAGGGAGCTCCACCGAAGGCCCCAGTGGCTGCGCCCGCATGCGGTTCCACCCCCCATTCTGGCACACCCCTCACACGTTTCGTGGCCCCATAGGGAGCTCCACCGAAGGCCCCAGTGGCTGCGCCCGCATGCGGTTCCACCCCCCATTCTGGCACACCCCTCACACGTTTCGTGGCCCCATAGGGAGCTCCACCGAAGGCCCCAGTGGCTGCGCCCGCATGCGGTTCCACCCCCCATTCTGGCACACCCCTCACACGTTTCGTGGCCCCATAGGGAGCTCCACCGAAGGCCCCAGTGGCTGCGCCCGCATGCGGTTCCACCCCCCATTCTGGCACACCCCTCACACGTTTCGTGGCCCCATAGGGAGCTCCACCGAAGGCCCAGTGGCTGCGCCCGCATGCGGTTCCACCCCCCATTCTGGCACACCCCTCACACGTTTCGTGGCCCATAGGGAGCTCCATAAGGCCCCAGAGCTCCACCGGCACAGGCCCCAGGGAGCTCCACCGAAGCCCCAGTGGCTGCGCCCGCATGCGGTTCCACCCCCCATTCTGGCACACCCCTCACACGTTTCGTGGCCCCATAGGGAGCTCCACCGAAGGCCCCAGTGGCTGCGCCCGCATGCGGTTCCACCCCCCATTCTGGCACACCCCTCACACGTTTCGTGGCCCCATAGGGAGCTCCACCGAAGGCCCCAGTGGCTGCGCCCGCATGCGGTTCCACCCCCCATTCTGGCACACCCCTCACACGTTTCGTGGCCCCATAGGGAGCTCCACCGAAGGCCCCAGTGGCTGCGCCCGCATGCGGTTCCACCCCCCATTCTGGCACACCCCTCACACGTTTCGTGGCCCCATAGGGAGCTCCACCGAAGGCCCCAGTGGCTGCGCCCGCATGCGGTTCCACCCCCCATTCTGGCGTTTCGTGGCCCCATAGGGAGCTCCACCGAAGGCCCCAGTGGCTGCGCCCGCATGCGGTTCCACCCCCCATTCTGGCACACCCCTCACACGTTTCGTGGCCCCATAGGGAGCTCCACCGAACGCTCCAGTGGCTGCGCTCGCATGCGGTTCCACCCCCCATTTCGGCACACCCCTCACACGCTTCGTGGGTGGCTCCATGGGGAGCTCCACCGAACGCCCCAGTGGCTGCGCTCGCATGTGGTTCCCCCCCCATTTCGGCACACCCCTCACACGGTTCGTGGCCCCATAGAGAGCTCCACCGAAGGCCCCAGTGGCTGCGCTCGCATGCGGTTCCACCCCTTTTTTCCGGCACGCCCTTCACACGTCTCGTGGCCCCACAGGGAGCTCCACCGAACGACGCAGTGGCTGCGCTCGCATGCGGTTCCACCCTTCATTTCGGCACACCCCTCACACGCTTCGTGGCTCCATAGGGAGCTCCACCGAAGGCCCCAGTGGCTGCGCTGGCATGCGGTTCCGCACCCCATTCTGGCACACCCCTCGCGCGTTTCGTGGCCCCATAGGGGGCTCCACCAAAGGCCCCAGTGGCACTGCCCGCTTGCGTCCGCCACCACCCAGCGCAGCCCTTGTTCCCTGCGCTTCACCCACCCAGAACAGCGCTTTGTAGCTCTATATGGAGCTCCACCAAAGGTCCCAGCGGCACCGCCCGCATGCGTCCGCCACCACCCTGCGCAGCCCTTGCTCCCTGCCTGCGTTTTACCCACCCAGCGCAGGCCTATATAGGGAGCTCCACCAAAGGTCCCAGCGGCACCGCCCGCATGCGTCCGCCACCACCCTGCGCAGCCCTTGCTCCCTGCCTGCGTTTCACCCACCCAGTACAGCGTTTCGTGGCCCCATAGGGAGCTCCACCGAAGGTCCCAGTGGCACCGCTCGCATGCGTCCGCCACCACGCAGCACAGCCCTTGCTGACCGCGTCTCACCCACCCAGTACAGCGCTTCGTGGCCCCATAGGGAGCTCCACCGAAGGTCCCAGTGGCACCGCCCGCATGCGTCCGCCACCACCCAGCGCAATTGCGGCATTCACAACTGCATATGGTTGGGTCCTTCGCCAGGCTAATTTCGGGTGGCCGGAGCCCCAGGGAGATTTTTTTTTTTGCGGAAACAGAACCAAAACCCAAAGCTACATAATTCGACACGCCAGGCACCCTCGTTGCAAGCAGCAGGGGGCGGCGGATTTGGTGGCCGCGGCCCATCCCGCCACCGCGCGTAGGTTACGGGTCGGAGTTTTCATGGTTGCTTCTTCGGGTCTCTTCGGGGCGCTCTCGGGGGCCTCGTAGGAGCAGTTTGGGGGCCTCTTGGGGGCCTTTTGGAGCCTCTTGACAGCCTCTTTTTGGGGCCTCGTGGGGATATATTGGGGCCTCTTGGGGCTTCTTGGGGGCTTCTTGGGGCCTCCTAGGGGGCGCTTGGGGCCACCGCCACCACGTAGCCGTGCATCCAGCAGGGCGCGTTGGCACGACAACCGCATAGGGCCGCCGAAGGAAAACAAGTCTAAGACTGCAACTCAGAATCGCGCTGGAGGAGGGGGGGGAGGGAAGACTGAAAAGGCCGAACTACGTAGCAGAAGGGGTGCTCAGTTGTGCTGACACTGGTGAGCTCTGTGCGACATTGATATCACGCCTATCTCCGCCCCCTCTCTTGTAGCTTTTCGGCGCAGAGGATTCAGATGCAAACCGCCGCGCCCGTCCTCGCGCAAGTCGCGGGATGCGCTGTCGGCTGGCGGGGCAGCGGCGGGCATCGCTGCATCTGCTCTTGCGAGGTCTCAGGCAGCGTGGACCGCGACATCATCGGGGTCATGCAGCGCCAGTGTGATCGGTGCGGGCCCGACCAGCTGACCTCGCCGCCGCCGACCACCTGCCACTGCGACGCAGGCTCTGCCTGGGTCGGCGCGGCGGCGGGCTTCGCCGTGGGCGTGGTGGTCGTCGTTCTCCTGTGCCTGGTCGTGTACTTCCGTGCTGCTGCTCGCCGCCCAGATGTCAGACCACCCGCCGGCGCCGAGCTGGCTGCGATCGCTGATTCCGGGGGCTCGCCTGTACGTGAGGTACCCGGACGAGGACCTCTGGCACGAGAGGCTTCTCTGCGGGCGCGCACGGGCGGACGGGTGGTCATGGGTGGCCCTGACACCGACTGGAGACCAGCGCGAGGAGGACTTCGTAGACGCCGCCGAGATCTTGGCCTGTGGGCCCAAGGGCGGCATTCCAGTGAAGTTGCATGGCAAGCACTTGTTCAAGATGGAGCACCGCTCCAACACACACTACGCGGACTTCATGGCGGCTGGGCTGAAGTTGGCTGATGAGTTGGTCAGCGCAGGAGGCGGTGGTCCTGCACCCCCTCCTGAGGCGGGGCCCTGGGCCCCCTTGGCCGACGCCGACGTGGAGCGCGACCCCGCGACCAAGTGGATCACGCTCGAGTCAAGGTTCGGCTACGCCGCGGGCGACCCGATCGACGTGGTGGGCCAGCCCTTTCTGCGCTCGGGTGATCGTGGCGTGCTGGAGCTGGCGGAGGGGCCCATTGCTGTGGGCATCTCGGACACCGCGGTCACAGGGCTCACGCCGCGTGCGGGGCCGCTGGACAGCCGCCTGCTGGGGGCGAGCTCGGACGCGACCTCCATGCGCCAGAGCTTCGCCCAGCGCGCCCAGCTCCTCGAGACGGGTGACAACCAGAAGTGGATGGTGCAGGGGCCCCCGACCATGCGCTGGGTCTGCCTCGCGCACGTAGAGGGCAACGCCACGCCCAAGCAGCGCCACTTCTGGTGGCGTCAGGTCCTGGGGCTAGTATCAACGGACCCTGGGGTCGAGGAGCATAGTTTCTTGTGCGAGCTGATCGAGACCGCCGTGGCGAGGGGCGGCCTCAACGTGGCGGCCCTGGAGGCGTTCGAGACGGTGTCGAGGCGCTTCCAGCTCTGGGAGGAGTTCTACGCGGAGGCGTTGCGGATCGCGGAGGCCAGCGACCACGGGGATGACCTGGGCGAGAGGAGGCTCTTCCTGGGGAGCCACCGGAGCAAGGGCCTCGCGATTGCGTCGCCGGAGTTGGAGCAGCACGTCGCCACGAAGCTGCAGGAGGAAAGTGCGGTGCTCAAGGAGCGCCGCAAGGGTCGCGAGGAGCGGAGGCTTGCTCGCACGGACCCGACGCGCCCATCTACTTCTTCGGGCTCTGGCGCTGCGGCATCTGGCGCCCAGCAGCCCCCGCGGCAGACCCAGCCTCCAGGACGTGGGAGGGGGCTGGGTCGTGGGCGGAGCTGACGCTTCGCCTCTCTCTTCATCCGGCTGCCCACCGTCGCCCCCGGGCGGTTGGGGTTTTCCCACAGGGGAGGCGCACTTGTGGTGGTGGTGCGCTTGGCGAGCATCGAGATCATGGAGGTGCAGCGTGACGTGCTGCCTCTGCCGCTGGGGGCTGCCCTCAGTCAGGAACTGCGTGGAGAGGTTGCTGGACTTGTCCAACCTCGTTCGCGTCGGCCCCGACAGCTGCGCGCACAAGAGAGGTGGCTGCGTGAGGGCATCGAGGCCCTGAATGAGCTCGGTGGTCGTGGAGAGACAGCGGATCCGCATCGTCGCCTCTCCCTGCCGCAACAGCTTGCGGTTCGGCATCTTGCTCGTTCTTATGGCCGCGTGGGCCCTCCGCCTCCCGATGTTGATGCCCGCGGAGCGTTCAGGGCGCTTCAGGGTTCGAGGTGCGGCTATGCGGACTCGCTGACCGATGGCAAGGTTGCTGCTTACAGACGTGGTGAAGTCTCACTACCGCAGGGCAAGACTGGAGGCGTGTCTCTTTTGAACTGCCCTGGGCCTGAGCTGCAGGCAGTTTTGGTAAGTGGTCAGGGTCTCCTTCGCTCTGATCGCGATCGCGACAACGTTCTTTTAGATGCTCCCAGGGTGCCGGCTATGGATGTCAACTTGGGCAAGGGCGGCGCCGACTACGGGCGCTTCCTGGGGGAGCTGTATGACCTTGGGGCTATCGAGGTGCGCGAGTCGCCGCAGGAGGTCTGCGGGCTCTTCTTCGCTCCCCGCAAGGATTGGCGTCTACGTCTCATTTGGGACACGAGGCGCCCCAACGCACACTTTGAGGTGCCGCCCTTCACCGCCTCGCCGTCTGGTGAGGCTTTGGCTGCTCTTGAGATTGACGAGTCGATCGCTGGGCAGAGGATAGTGGCACCGAGCGCGGATGTGGAGGTTTGCTTCTACCAGTGCGAGCTGCCGTCCAACCTCCGCCCGTTCTTCGCTCTTAAGTCTGTTGACCTTCGGTTTCTGCCTCGGCACGTGCGTGGCCAGGTCAGCCAGCAGGCCACCAACGGCCACATTCAATTTCAATCTCGCGTTGCGCCCATGGGATGGGCATGGGCCGTGCACCTCGTGCAGCAGGCGCACATGTCGTCGCTGAAGGATGCGAGGCCGCTCGACTCCTGGGTGCTGGACAAGGTGCCGACGGAGCCGATCAGCGCTTCGCACTTGGCTAAGATACTCTACATCGACAACTTTGCGTCCATCGGTCCCACGCGGGCTCGGCCAGACGCGGCCACTGCTGATATGATCACGTCGTTAGCGGATGCTGGGGTCAAATCTGACATGGGCCCGAGCTCTGGGACGTTTGGGGCGCATGACCTTCTTGGCTTCTCGTTGGTCGAGCGCCGTGCCACTTGGGCCCTCAGCGCTCGCAAGTTTTGGAAGATCAAGGGGGCGCTGGACTACGTGGTTTCGTCCAGCCAGGGCTTCGCCGGCGCGGAGATGGAGCGGCTGCTGGGACACTTGGTCAGCTGCTTCCTGCTTCGACGCGAAATGCTCTTGCTACTGTACGCGTCGTACACCTTCGCCCAGGAGACCAAGCTGCGCCGGGTGCCCCTCTGGCCTTCGGTCCGCAAGGAGCTCCGGTGGTGCCGTGCGTTGTTGCCGCTGGTGGCCGCGGACATGTCACGGCCTTGGTCTCCTTTGATCACTTCCTATGATGCAAGTCCCTGGGGATACGGCGTTTGCGAGACGTCGGTCTCGGCATCGCAGTCTGGGCAGATCGGACGGCTGAACGACAGATCGAGATGGAAGGGGTTGTTGGCTACCAATCGTCGGCCTCGGGACGACCTCGCGGATCTTAACGATGTCGACGGCGACTTCAAGATCCCACGAGGTCGGGACACGATCCTCTCGGCTGGGGCGGCTTCGGGCTTTACCGAGGTGGGTCCTGGATTTCTGAGAGACGCCGCCTGGGTCACGGTCGCAGCTAAGCCCGTTTCTGCTAGCCTGCCTATTTATTTGCTGGAGGGATTTGCTCTGCTCCATGGGGTGCGCCGCGCCTCTCGAAACAGTCGGTCTCATTCTCGTCAGCTCGTCTTCTTGGGGGACAATATGAGTCTTATCTGTGCACTATGTAAAGGGCGGGCTACAGATTTCAGGCTTAACTCTATCTGTCGGGAGGTCTCGGCTATCAGTCCGGCGTCGGATTTCAAGCTGGCCCACAGGTGGATCCCCTCAGAGAGAAATGCTGCTGATAAGCCGTCTCGTCGGTACATGCCGAAGTGGAACAGGGGCCTGTTGCCAGCTTCTGGGCTCAAGGGCGATGAGGGTATGAGGGTAACGCCTCCTCGCCGTCGTTCAGCTACGCAGGCGGGGCTTCCGGCTTCGCGTCAGATACACCGCCGCCCTCTCGCCCGAGGCCTTTGTCCGGGGCGCTGGTGGCCGCTGAGGATCCTGCGGGGTCAAGCGCTGCCACCCAGCCGCAGAGCGACGTGCCGCGCGCCTGGCCGCGCGCGTCCGCTTCGGCGCGCCGCCCGGGCTCGGGCCCCCGAGAGCAACGGCATCACGTGGAATTGCAGCGCCTTCTACACCGTTTGGTGCCTCGTCTTACTGGCTTGCAGGCCAACCGCATTCGCGAGGCCACGCAGCTGGCCTACCTGGGCATCCTCGAGCAGCTGGCCTTCTTCATGCAGCGCCGAGAGCCCCCGCGCTTCTCGGCCAAGGTGCGGGACGTCACCCTGGTCGACTTCATCGAGGGCCGCCACAACGAGGGGCACTCAAGGGAGGCGACCGTCAAGGTCCTCTACGCGCTGCTGTGGGCATTGCCGCATTTGGGAGGGCCGGCTCGGACGCTCTTCCCCCGAGCCTTCGCATCAATGCGAGGTTGGACGCGGCTCAGCCCTCCTGCATCGCGGCCGCCGCTGCCCAGGCAAGCCGCCTACGCCATCGCCGCGAAGCTGCTGGACTATGGGCAAGAGAGGGCGGCACTGGGGTGCTTGGTCATGCTCGAGACCTACTGCCGCGTCGGGGAGCTGCTCGCGTTGCGAATGTTCCAGATTGCGCCGCCCGGCCGCCACTCGGCCGGGGCGGCAGGCTGCCCCACCATCGTTCTCAACGCCTCGGAGTTCCAGGCCCCTTCCAAGACAGGGGAGATGGACAGCAGCATCGCCTTCGATCTGCCGGAGCACCGCTGGGTGGGGATGCTGCTGGTGCTGCCCAAGGAGGCCTTCGCTTCGCAGCCCATGGAGCACGTGGTCAATGTCTCGTACACTGTCTTCCTTTCGCTGCTCGATCGAGCGGCTCAGGATCTGGGCATCCAGGTCCTGCAGCCTACGCCACGCTGCTTCAGGCACGGTGGGGCCAGCCACGATCGAGCAGCTGGGCGACGCCCATTGCAGGAGGTCCAGCGCCGAGGCATGTGGAAGGTGCACAGCAGCGTGGCCAGGTACGACAAGCACGGCAGAGTCGGACTGCAGCTGCAACTTCTGCCTCAACATGTGCGAGACCGTCTCGAGCATCTCATGCATCGCGCGGAACACAACTTCAGGCTGCGCTTCGCCAGGCTCTCCGGCCAGGCAACCGGCGCAGGCTCTTCCTCGAGCTCTTCGCGGGTTCTGGCGAGCTCGCCGCGTCCATGAGGCGCAAAGGCGCGGCTGTGTTGGCATTCGACGTGAACCAAGGACCGCGCATGGATCTTCTGAACGACGACGTCTACTCCCGCCTGCGGGGTTGGATCTTGTCTGGAGTGGTGCTTGCAATCTGGTCTGGGACTCCTTGCGGGGGCCTCGCACGAGCTCGGCGTGGGCCTCCGGGCTCTCGGCTGCCGCGTGCCCTGAGGGGCCCAGAGTTCCCTCGAGGTCTTCCAAACTTCGAGGGCCGCGACTTGGAGACCTTGCAGCAATTCAATATACTCGCTGCAAGGGCACTTGGTCTTCTCCAATTGGCTGCCGCGCGAGATATTCCAGGAGGCGAGGAGAATCCGAACACCAGCTATTCGTGGGACCTGCCGTCCCGTCAGAGATTCTCGGAAAAGATCTGCACCGCTGACTACATCGTAGACTACTGCGCCTGCGGGCGCCCTTTCAGAGCAAGAACGCGACCCATAGTTTTTAAGTTGCATGCTTCACGTAAGTTGCCTCGTCTTCGCTGCCATGGCCGCGGCGTGTGCGACTTCTCAGGCAAGCCACACCACAACCTGTCAGGTACCAAAGTAGGAGGCGGTTTCTTCACAGCCGCCAAGGCGGCCTACCCTCGCAGATTGGCGAACACCTTGGCTGATGACCTTTTCATGGCCTAGGTTCTCCGACGAACTTCGAGAAAATTGGATTTTTTACGGTGGCCCAGTTGCAGTGCTGGATGTGGGTATGTTGTTCTGAATATGGGTTGATTTGAGCGTGGCTCAGCACGCTCCTCATCGACTCAGCTGAGCTCTTCTCATGCAGCAACTGATTGGAAAAGAAGTTATATCATGGTGAGCTCTGTGCGACATTGATATCACGCCTGTCTCCGTCCCCACTCTTGTAGCTTTTCGGCGCCCGCCCGAACCCTGCCTTTCCTGCCTCACTTTTACAGAGAGCTTCGAATTAAAGAACTGTCGTGGGCACGTGCAAGCCCGTGACCCATGCAGGGTTGATTTGAGCGTGGCTCAGCACGCTCCTCATCGACTCAGCTGAGCTCTTCTCATGCAGCAAATGGTAGGAAAAAATAAAGGTTATATCAAGCTGGTACACTTCTGAAGTCCATTGCTGTCTCGGCCGGCCACGACGCCGATGTTCCACCCAAGTTTTCGGTGTACCATCTTGTTGGCATACCATCTGACGGACGAGCGACACTGGCCCACCTGATATTTTGTGGTAGACTTGCTTTTTGTCTGCCCAATAACACCTGAGAAAGAGGCTCGACGCCAGCCCTGTCTAGAACGTCTGTGTTTGTAACTCTTGAAATAAAAGAAGGCTGTACACCTAACGCGCGCCTCAGACAGCGGCAGTGCAACGCATCGAGCCTGCGTCGGTCAGCTTGTGATAGCCGAAGGGAATCGAGGGAATATAATAATTTGCCCAGGACGCAGCAGTCGTACACTTTGTGTTTTCTTTTCCAGCCCAATGCTGCACGGGACCGAAGTTTTGCGAGCTGCTTGAAGATGCGTTGCGCTTCGCCGAGGCGCCCGGTGATCGCTGCCGTCGTTTTGCCATCGCAAGTAAGCATTCCACCCGAATACACTGCTTACCGGACAACCTTGATCGGGCCTCCACCAGGTCGTTTTGCCGCGTCGTTCGTCGAGATATGCATTTGGAACGTATTGTCCCAATTGAGTTCAAGACCATATTTTTGTCTTTCCAGTACAATAGCAGTCAGCATGCTTTGAATATTAACTTTGCTCCGTGAGGCCAACAACGTGTCGTCTGCGTACAAGATGTCTCGTGTTACTAGGTAAGCCGGTTCAGCCTCGAAAGCAATATGTTGGAAAGCATCCTGAAGCATGGTTGACCGCACAGCGATGAATAAGTAAGGTGAGAGAGGGCATCCTTGAGCGATGCTGACCATGTGTTGCCTCTCTTTTGATTGCCCGCTGTGGTCGGCAATGGTGAAGAAGCGCTCGGGATACATAACGTTGACCATGCCCACCGTATCTGCAGGAAGCCCAAATCGGCGCAGAGCGTCGCACATGCTCTCTGGTTTGAGCCTGCCGAACGCCTTGGCCCAATCCAGCACTAACAGAATAAAGCCGCCTTGCTTATTGTTATGTGCAGCGTCGATCCTGCGCCGGACAAGCATGAGTGCGTCTGCTGTCCCACGCCCGGGGTGGAAACCAAATTGAGAATCGCGCGTGCGGTTCTCAGCACCGCCGCGAATCAGCCGTTGATGTAACAATGAGGCGAGAATTTTATACCCAACTTGTAATAGCGATATCGGCCTGTAGTTTTCTGGCAATGCGATATTTCTCTTTTTGAATGAAAGAACTACGTTCGCGCGCCTCCAAGAGTCCGGATTGGTTTTTTGATCCGAGTATTTCTGACACAAGTGAAGCATAATGGCAGAAGCGTCCCGGTGCGAACCCAACATCTTCCAGAAATCTGGGGGGATACCGTCTGGCCCAGCAGGTTTCCCGAGGCGAAGGCGGCGCAACGCATCAGTCAACTCCTTCATGTTGAATGTCTCCGTGTCGATTGGCAGTGGTTGTCCTATGGGTGCACGCGCTTTTGGGGTTTGCTCTGGAAACCGGACTTGCCATGGAACGTCTTCCAAATAGTCTGGCAATCCATTTGGCCAATCAGCCGTGTCTGCGAGTGATCCATCAGGCCGCTTGACCGTCGCATGCATTATGTTCCTCGGCTTTTTCACGTAGCGAACCCTTTCCCGACCACCACTTTGCAGTAACATGTCAAGCCATTATCGGCGATCTTGCGCTCCAGATTTACGGATCGATGTATGAAGATTTTATTCGGTATCATGGTCTCCAGCTGTGCGAGCGGCTTTTCTTTGCTCGATTAGATCGAGCGTGCGTCGGCTTGTCCACGCCTGCTTAGGAGTCAATTCCCGCTTGGGCAAAGTCTCAGAAACTGCTTCAAAACCATGTAGGTTGCTGTTCAGAACCTCAACGGAATCGATTCCGGCACGTTCCGCAGTGGCAGCGGCTTCAACGACTGCTGATGCAAATCTCCCTTTTTTACGCACGGGTCTTTGAGACTCGCCTTGCCCATGTATTGTTTGTTTGATGCGTCGCTGAACTTGAAGGCCAACTTGGAAACAACAGTGGTTAGATAATGGCGCGTGCTACGACCGCCCCCCCCTGCTCGTCCAAGCATCGCGCAGCAAAGTATGCATTGCACCGCGGTGGCGAAGCACGCGGTCTATCTGAGCGAACTCGCGCCCCGAGGTGTCGTTGTCTAACGGGTCGACGCCCAGGTCCCTATAAGAAATTAGCATGTTTAATGGATTACCAATGAGTCACAAGACGTGCACATTTCCATTAGGAGGTG